TTTTAGAAAAACAAAAAGAATTTAAACGAACATCTTCGTCTTTATCCGGAGCACAAACTGGATGGCTTGTCAACCTCTCGGAAACGGGTTTCATTAAGACAATGCGCAGAAAAATTTCTAGACGACGAGAGTAATCCTTCTTCCAGGAAGCAAAGGGTCAGTGAACTGTCTGAACGATGAAGAACTTGTGGATTTAGTTTAACCAAAGATTGCCAAAATTGTGTCACCTGTGGACTTTTTACTGCAAGGAACTGATGGAAATCATGATTTTCACAGCAAATTATGCAAGTTCAGAGATGAACTTTACCTACACTACCCAGAACTTTAAGCACTGTTTTGTCCAGAGCCCTCACCAAGCACTGGTTTCTACAACCCGAGGCAAGTGTTCACTGAAATAGTTCAAAAGAACAAACCTAATTCTTGCAACTGGCTCCTTGAAATTGACAATGGTTCTTTTTTCAAGGATGTTGTTATGCCTTGTGTTTTTAAAAAACAGCACTCTGCATTTTTGGAATTTTCTTGTGGAATTGTTGGGTCCCTTGCGATTGGACAGAAGGAAACACAAGATGCACTAAGAAACAAGTGGGGAAGAAATTGGAAGTGGCCATTGGCATCAATCCAATTTTGAGTAAAGATGAGATTTTTGGTAATCTGAATGACACCCGCCAAGAATTACTGAAACAAATTGGTCTAGAATTTAATGAATACACCCAACAATTGTCAGGTTCTCATGGATTACACAGATGGTTTTCCGTGGCTTAAATGGTCTCATTATTTTACCGCAGAAACCAGTGCAAGAGTGAAACTAGTTGAGCCTTACAATTTACTTAGCACAGTTTTGACTGTTGCCCTTTGGTTGGGGAATGATGACTATGAGACAACAAAAAAAATGTGGTCATGCTGTTTACAAACAGCTTCAAGAGCTAAAAACAATTAAACATCCACTGACTGGGCAAGAAATAAAAATTATTAGTCTAAGACACACTTGTGGGGATAGTAAGGAAAGAAGGTTATCTACTGGCAGTTCATCTGCCAAATCTACTTATCCAATCCCAGAAGCACCAGCGCCAACTGGGTGACATGAAGATCATCTGTCCAGAACCAGTTTGGACAGTTTTAGATGCAGAGAGTTGCCAAAAAAAAATTTGAGAATGAACTATGTGGAAAAGCCCCCACTAAAGAAAAGCGCAGAATTTGCAAATCAAAATCTTGGGAACACTGGGCGTAAAAATTTGAATGGTACAACCTTTTCGGAGTACTACCCTGGTACTGCTCACCTTGGGTTTCGGTCACCTGAAACACTATGTTTGCGAATTGCAAAAATTGCGGCAGGTTAAATGTGCCTTTTTGAAACTAGTTCACATCAACATTGATTGTATTGTGCAAGAAAATATCTATATCTCATCCACAGAAAGTTTTTTTGGTTTAACACACTTAGGCACCAGGAAGTTGTCTTTAGCTTTACTTTCCTTGAAACAATTGAGGTAGGGGTCTGTAGGGTGATTATGGACATTTCTACAAAATGTGTAGCTCCGTAAAATATTGATATCTCCCCCTTGGAAGGGATTTTTTATAAGCACCCGACCCTCCAGAAATTCTGAAAAATCTCCAAATATTCTTTTTACAGTTTTTGGTCTTTGAGAATGAGACCCCCAGGAATTTTCATTTGCCTTCTGTGGAAGGGGTGCGGGGATAATGGCTAGTTACTGGAACTACACAATAAGAATAACAAAAACAAAATGTGTAAAGCGACATGTTAAAAAATTATCAAAGTCCTTTTAAATTTAGGAAATAACATGTATGCCTATCACAAGTTTGCACCCTTTCACTAAAAATCCTGTAAAATTATAGTCTACATTTTACATAAATTGGGTATAGTATAAAACCCAACTGATACTGTATAGCACAATGATATCTGGAATTTTTACAGTTTAAAAAAGTAGTTGTGTGCTACACAACTCTGCAAGTCTGTTCATTTCATTTCTGTTCATCTTCATAACTGAAGATTCCTTGAGTCTAGATGTCACATCATTACCAAAGTTGGAGAGGAAGGTTCGAAGGCAGAGTTGTATCATTGAAGCAGAAGTCAACCAAAGATTCGAGTGGCAAATGGACGGAGGAATGTATCCTGGAAAGTGAAAAACCACCCTACCGGATTACGGTGGGACTGATGTGTCAAAATGAGCCTAAATTGAGCCAGTTGAAAGAGCTGCTACAAAAAGTTCCATCCTTGAAGCGAGCACCCAATCGAGGCCTTCAGGCAACTTACCAACCAAGCTCAAACGTCCATGGAAATCCCGAGGAAGGTATCCGGTCTTCAAAGATCCGACTCTCGTCAGAGCCGGGTAGTTCGCTTGTGTACGTCTCTTAAGCACATTACCATCACACAATAAAACTGGGTACGTCGTCAAAAATTATGTACTCCCTGATGGAAATGAGTTTTTTTAAAACAGTCTACTGTGGGAAAGAATCGAGCGCTGAGGCAAGAATACTATCCCAGCATTGGACTCACAGAAGCCATCCAAGTAAGTAAAATTTTCACCTTTCAGAACAATAGGTGTCTTTCAGAACATTTCTTTGTCGCAAACTTTCCCGCATGGCGGCTGACCGGCCGCCATGCTTCGAAAACAGATTGAATTGGTGCGCGCCTTGGTTTAGGGGATATGGCATTAAAATTTCTTTCCCCAGCCCCCTGCAATGAGGTCACAGATCACCTTGGATGGGTTTGTGGTTGTTTCTTATGACATGGGGCCACTGAGCAAGAGCCTAGAACAAAAGTTCAGGAGTACAATATAACAAAGTATGTATTAATTAAAAAAGTATGTATTATTAAACCCTAGCAAACCATTATGGAATGGGAAAATTTATTTTTGGGGAACAGAAAGGTGGCAACTTAAAAGCTCAACCAAAGGTTAACTAAACTTACCTAATGACTGATTGATATCTGAAACAGCAGAATCCACATCAGATGGAGGGAAAGATCTCATAATTCTGTGTGAAACAAACCATCCAGAGCAAGCTCCAGTAGCTAAAAGATCCAAAAAAAAATTTAAGAAATTCAATCTACAAGGTAAAAAGTAAAACATGGCTGTACCAATTCATCCTAATGAGTACCTTTTTAACATAAAGTGTCATAGTTTGTCTGACAATGTAACCAATTCTGAGCTATATTGGATGTGACTACATTGTGAGAAAAATAGTTATACTTCAAATGTAAGGAAAAAGAGTTTCACATGTATTAACTATGTTCACTTGGAGCAGTAAATTAAATCCTGAAATTCAATTTTATGTCCTCTGATTTCTTTTCAATTATAAGCCTGCATTAAAAAGGTTCTGGGCTCTAAAGAAATACCTTACTTATAGGTTTTTCTGCCTGAAACATTACAAGTAAGTTTTCCCGTTGACAAGCACAGTAATTTTAATAAGTCATTTAAGGACAAGATTAATGTACTGGGAGGCATTTCTAATTCAACAGGAATATGACACTCAAAATGTAGAAACTTCTTAACCATTAAACACCCACAAATGACCAAGACAAAATTTCTCCTTACAATATCACTCCAATATCAGTACAATATCAAACAGACAAGTGATAAGAATAGAGAAAAATATCAATAAGGAGATTATATAATTATGAATTATATGGCAGAGCATAAGGGGTATAACTCATTAGAGCCTGGAAGTGAAATGTGAATAAGTGATGTTGGCATACAGTGTTTAGATCCAGGTGGAACTGTTTACTTCGAATGACAGTAGACAACAAAATGTTGTTGGAATGGAACTTAATAGGTAGAATTGAGTAAATGAACTTTTCATATCTCATTTATATGTCCCAAAAAAAAAAATCACATTAATACATACTTAGGGATAAGAGTGGAATGTACTTCTTGGGTATTTGCAGCCGAAAGAGTGAAAGCCCTGCATAAGTCACGCTACTTCCTAAAGAAATGAAGAAATAACTAATATGTACAAAACCACGAAAAGTATTGTGTGGGGGAATACCCCATCCCCCCAAATCTAAGTTGCTGATTTTGACCAACTTCTAATTTACACATTCAAACTTATACCAAAGAGAAAATCCATTTCAGAATGGGCAGAAATTTCTTAATTTCTATAGCATTCTGTTCATGTAAACATACCAAGTTTCTTAGTTTCATGCACTGTTTAAGATATCCAATACAAATATGATGTATGTATAGTAAGTGCCACTAGGTCTGATGCCTCATCAGCGCATTTGTCATATAATTTTCAGCAATGAGCTTTGCACAGGGTGGCTCCTCTTGTGCACTGTTTCCAGGTAGAATTAAAATTTGGAATTTTGCGAAGGAAGGAAACCCCAAGGACCTGAAGAACAAACTTGCAAACAAGGACGAGGACCAACAACAAACTCAACCGACATGTGATATCAGTTTGGGGAATCAAACTCAGGTCACAGCAATGGGAGGTAGTCGCAATCTCACTGCTGGCCACCATCCCTGCTCTCCCCAGAAGCTACTCTGTAGTCTTACTATACAATGTCCTGCTCAAAAATTTTATTTCAACAGAAACCCAGTAAATTAAATGTGGCCATCGCAGCTTAATTCGATTTATCCACATCAACACATCAATCATTTGCCTCAGTCTTTGCTGGCTCCGATGCTCTCCACAGACAGATCATAGTACAGTATTTCCTACATCGTCAAATACCCGTTTTATATTCTTTGATCGGAAGACAGTAATTAACTGCACCACTGAACTGATCAACTGCTCATAAAGAATCCCCTACAGCCTCTTATTAAAGTCAACAATCAGAACATTTCTGTTAAAAGACACTTTCTTGTTCGAGCTTACCTACGATTATCGACCACAAACCATACCAAGCTGCCTTTCCTTGATGCTTTCTCCACTCCAATAGATCCTGCAACGACAAAAGGAAATCCAGGATAAAAGTGACACCAGTGTCACAAACAAAGGACTTAGCAAGATTACAATTACAACACATAACAAGCAAAAATAATGGAAAAATAGGTTTCAAAGATGGCCTGTAAACACAAAGTAAGGCCTAACATTCTTATTATTATTATTATTATTATTACTATTACTATTATTATTATTATTATTATTATTATTATTATTAAAAAATACTTAAAGAGGGAGCCCAGTTCGCCATAGCGGTTTTCAGTGAGGCCCTCAAAATCAACAATGTATAAAATAAGTAATCACGTAATTAAGGCTTACTGTATTTTGCGAAACCAAACCAAACCAAACCAAATCAAACGAAACCAAACGAGTTAACCCGTACTATATTTTGCGAAACCAGCTCTTCGAAGACTCTAGCGATATATAACTTATTTCTTCCGATTCTTAAACACTATTCGTAGATACAACTCGATGCAGTGATGATTTGTAAATAGAGAGTTTGAGCCAAAAGGTCATCACTGCATCGAGTTGTATCTACGAAAAGTGTTAGAGAATCGGAAGACATAAGTTGCATATCGTTAGAGTCTTCAAAGAGCTCGTTTCGCAAATTACAGATTTACATATCTGTAATTTGCGAAACGGCGCACTTCTGACCTTTTGGCTCAAACTCTTTATTTACAAATCATCACTGCATCGAGTTGTATCTACGAAAAGTGTTAGAGAAT